ATGGGTGGATGATGGATGAGTGATGGATACCAGTTACTTACATGCATAATCTCATATAATCTGCACAAATGGCCCCATGAAGTGATCCATGGTGTGGTTGTGGAGTGGGTTCATACATGACCTCATGGTGTAGTTTTATGTGTAGTCTAAGAAAAGACAGGCTCAGGGAGCTTCAGGGAGATGAAGAAAGTTCCCCAAATTTCCCTTGTAGATGTGAGCAGGAATGGAAACCCAAGCCTCTCAGGTCCAAATCCTTTCAAAGGAAGGAAAGGGAAGGGATATATGTCTCTGCAATTGTCCTCCTTGGGTTTAGAGAACGACCTCCACTGACATAGTCAAACTTAATAACCTCTAGTGGCCCAGGCTAGCTCACAGCTTCACAGCAGTGAGAAGCCAGTCACCCCATAGAGGAGTCTCCGAGACCCCGCACCTCATCCACTTCTTGTCAAGCATGGCTCACATCAGGATGAACTATACAGACGCATGGTGGCCACCCTGTCCCCAGCCCCAGGGCACTGCTCTTACAGAGATGGACTTGGCTGTGCTGACAGCCTGGGAAGAGATGGGCCCCGGTCAGTGTAGGAGGCTCAGAGCAGAAGTGGAGCTCAGGCGCATCCTCTAGAAGAGAGAGCCCCAGCCTGAAGTGAGAGAGAGCACAGTGTTTGAAAGTACACCCCAGAACTCAGCTACCTGAAGTCTGATGAATCAGTACCTCCAGGCAGCAGTCATGGAGTAACTATTCTGTATTAGGTCCCAGGGACCCCAAAATGAGAAACATGTGGCTCATGTTCATGGTCTGAGTCGGGCACACAAACAGACTTAATTACAGGATATACAAAAACAAAAGAGATGATCCAGAGTCTTGAGAAATGCTTACAGTGACAGGACAGGTAACCAATGGGAAAAGTGGCCATGGAAAACCATGAATGTTCAGCCACAGAAAGGGGTAATACTCATTTTCTTCAGAGGTTCCTAGCCTGGCTGCACAGACCCCCCCCCACCTTATTATTTAATGCATTAATATAGAAGCACATATATTACTGTAGCACAAATTTATGTTTTAATATTTTATTATTATATTGATATATAGTTGGTGTCCGTTCTAATCTATTTTATTTTATGCATTTAATAACATGCTCTGTTAGAGTGGGTAGTGCTGTGTGCGCGCACGTGGGCGCAAAGGGGGGTGGCAGCAGTAAGTGAGGGAGGACTCCCTGACAGGGTGGGACTTCTAGAGTTCAATTCAACATCCTCCACGGGAGGAGAACGCTTGGCCCAGTCAATGCCGCTCCCTAGCCTCCAGCAGGGGGCGCCCAAAGCACTTTCTCGCTAACCAGATTGTGTCCTCTCTTCAGCAGATTTGGACTCCCAGGCGATCCGTGAGTATGACCCCAACCCTGCCTTTGCCTTAGGGTGAGACTTCCCAGGGCTGCTCCTCCTGGCCCTGCAGGCCCCAGAGAAATCCTGGTGTCCAGAATCTGCCCAGCTCTCTCCTCCCATGGCCCCATGGTACCTTCTGCAGCCCCCAAGCCCTGTAGCAGTAGAGGCCTCCTCTCAGCCATTCAGACTGATGGAGATGATTCAACTCTCCCTTCCCCAGCAGCCCCCACCCTGCCCTGCAGGCTGGATTGCCTCCCTAGTCACAGCACCTGGCCCTGCACAGCCACCTCCCCACTCTGACCCCCACTGAGCCCGAGCCCTGAAGATGGGCTCTGTGCTTATTATCATCATGCGGACCCCAGGCTTGGTTCACAGTTCCTGTTCCAGAGTACCAAGGGCCATGTGGGGCATCCAGGCACTCCCAGAGGCATACAGAAGGGGGTGCTGATTGTCTGTTGGGGTAGAAGTACCCAATGTGCCAGGAGAGATGCGCAAAGTGTTCTGGGCTCCAGGAGGGCTACCCCCTTCCAATGGAATGAGGTCACAGAAGGCATCAGGGAGGGACTGGCAAAGGCCTAGAGGCAGGAATGTGTGGGGCTGCAGGGGAGACGGTGGCTGGAGAGTCAGGCACTGGGAAGTGGGAATGCTGATGCCTTCAGTGCTGGATACTGCAGCCGTCTGAGCAGGGCTTCAGCAAAGACCCCAGCTCTCAAAATGTGGAGAAGGTGGAAAGGAGGGACAGTTATGATGATGATAATAGTACAATGATGGAGGGCCTACTATGTGCCAGACACCATATTCAGAGCTTTACAGGCATCTCATGCAATCCTCACCACCACCTTGGATAGGTGCTCGGACTATCCCCATTTTATAGGTGGGCAAACTGAAGCTCAGAGAAGTAGAAATCTCTTGGCCAAGGCAACACAGCGGTACATAGTGGAGCAGGAGTTCACCTCCAGGCTAGCCCAGAGCCTACCCTCTCCACACCTCCCTTCAAGAGGCAACATGCGTCACAGCATCTCAGTGCAAACACTCAGGCATCATCTGCTAGGGGCATGGCAAATCCAGGCACACGTGCTGCCTCCCACCCTGCCCGCTCTCCTGGTCGACACTGCCAGTCGGTCCCAGCCCTTGCCCTCCAGGCCCACAGGTAGCCTCTACAGCTCTATCATTAAGCCTCTAATAGCAGATCCACTGACAGTTCAGAGAAGAGCTATCTGACAGCCCTTATCTAAACCAACTGCCTCGTTCTACAGCTGGCAAACGTAAAGGGAGAGATCCCTGGCGAGTCACGCCGCAGATAACTGAAGAGCAGCCCACATTTCCTGACTGCTCCCCATCCAGTGCTCAGCTTCACGTCCTCAGCAACATCACTAGGGGTTCCCAGAGGGCTTGGGTCTCAGGGTTTGAGGCAGCTGGTGGGGGCAGCCCCCCAGCTCGAACCCAGAGAGCAAATCCCATTTCCCAGTGGCTGAGCCCCCTAGACATCATCCCCTTCATCCAGTAGCTGGACCGTGAAGGCTGGATGGTCAGAAAATCAATTCTGGAAAAGCCTGCTTAAGCCAGCCTGTTGACATCAGGTTTATCAGACTTAGCTGCAGTTGATTAGGCTCTGGGCAAACTCTAGGATGGGGTCCAGGGCCTGGAATGATCCCTCCGGCAGAGGTGAGAACGTCTGGTCTCGAGTAAACTGGCCTCTCCGTGAGGGGGCAGGGGACCAGAGGTTAGGGCCGAAGACTCAGAGGGGAGGAGGACCTCTCTGCAGCCTTATCCTCACCTTCGGGCAGGTGCTGGGCCTCCTGAGAAGGGTCCCCTCCGGGTCCCCACGTCTCCAGCCCTCTCTGTCCTGAGCCACAGGCCTAGACACCCACTCTCCCCTTAACAGCCCGTTGTGGTTGTCTCTGCTCCTGGCCCTCACTCTAGTGACAGTGTCCTGGTTTGAGTTCTGGTTATACCTGAAACTTAGGGGGGAGGGGGGCCGCAGGGCAGGGAGCCTAGGATAGGCATTCCACTCAGGCCTCCCAGGCTACCCACTTGGTGAGGGTACCCTGGCCGGAGCGGCATTCACTCCTAGGAAGGAGCACCTTTACCAAGTCTTGCACCAGTGGATTGTGTCCCCCTGGAAGGGGCTCTTTTCCCTGGTGCACATAAAGGCTCCCTAGAGGCTGGCAAGATCCTCATCACCCTGACCACATTGTTTCTCTCAGCCTGGAGCCCGGCCCTGCCCAATGCTCTATGCGTTCATTCCGTGAATATTTCTTGAGTGCCTACTATGTGCCAGGCACAGGAGTTCCCGGCACGATTTAACAAGATAATAAATGTGAAGTGCTTGCCACGGTGCTTAGCACACAGCAAGCCCTCGGCATCCGCCAGCTTCTGTCAGGAAGCCCGTGGGTTTGCTCCAACCCGGGGCTGCCATAGCCCAGCCCGATACGTGGCCCGGGGCTGGAGGAGAGACGCTGCCCGATCATGGCTTTCCCTTTGCAGGTGAACTTTCTCTAATTCCATGTTTACCCAGTCCTCCCTAATGGTACTTTCCAAACTGTCAGGTAGTGGTAAAACACACACACAACACGCATTAATATAAATTAGAACCTGCCGGGCTGTAAGCGCAGGTGACAGATATCCCAGCTTACAAGGAGTCCACAGAGGGCCAAGCATCGGCAGCTGTGGTTGGGGGTCTTTCATATATCCCCCACCTTTCTCGGGCCTCTGGGTCCGCCCTGTGAGGGCCACGTGGAGAGGACGTGGGTCTTAGTTAGAACCAGGCTCTGCGCCCCAGCTAGAGCTGTAGCGGAAACCCTGAGAAACTCGAGGGTGGTCAGACACACAGCCGGTGTCCTGCGTCTTCGACGGGGATGGCTGGAGGGACCATGCGCAGAAAGGGGCAAATCCTCCCCCCCCCCCCCCCCCCCCCCCCCCCCCCCCCCCCCCCCCCCCCCCCCCCCCCCCCCCCCCCCCCGCCCAGGGTGGGGCAAGGCCCCTGGGCGCGGTGGCCTCAGCCTGGGGCCGGGGCCCCCCCCCCCCCCCCACCGGCCCCTCGCCTGCTGAGCCTGCTCCCCGGCTGGCCGCTCCCCTGACTCCTCCCGAGCCCCTTCCCCAGCTGCCGCCACCGAGGTTGGTCTGTTCCCTCCACAGCGGTCGTGAGGACCAAGTGTGGTCTCAGCAAGCCCTGCCCGGACAACTTCTTTGCCTTTAAAATCAGCAGCGGAGCCGCTAACGTCGTGGGCCCCACCATGTGCTTCGAAAACCTTGTGTAAGTTTCTTGAGTTTCCCTTCTTTTCATTGGTTCATTCGGAAATTCGGAGGCTGCAAGGGCAGGTCCTGTGACCGGCCCACACCTTCCACTCACGTCCTTTTCCTCTGGATGGATGAGTCACAAGTAACAATAACCCGAACAGCTTCCCCATCCGCCAGTGCCTGGCTAAATGCTTCCCGGCTTCCTCTCATTCAATCCCCCAACCCTCCCAGAAGTGGGGCTACGATTAGCCCCTTCGCAAAGATGAGGCAATGGAGGCTCAGACAGCATTACCCAGCTGAATGGTGGCAGAGTCAGGATTTTGAACGCAGGTCTGCCTGACAGCCAAGCTCCTGGGCTTCCTATAAAGGGGAATGCCTCTGGGGAGAGTTCAAAATCAAGATCCAGACATCAAAGTTCAGAGGCAGCAGATGCCAGGGCTTCCATCCAGGTGCAAGACAAAGACTATGTACCCATTATCCAAACCAGATGGTAAAGGCCCTGGGGCAGTAAGTTTATCCTACAAAAGGAGCCAGAGACTGATGTTTTATTTATTTATTTTTATTTCTTTATTTAAATTCAGTTTAATTAACATATACTGTATTATTAGTTTCAGAGGTAGAATTTAGTGATTCATCAGTAGCACACAACACCCAGTGCTCATCACATCCTGTGCCCTCAATGCCCATCACCCAATTACCCCATCCCCCCCACCCACCTCCCCTCCAGCAACCCTCAGTTTGTTTCCTATGATTAAGACTCTCTCATGGTTTGCCTCCTCTCTATTTTCATCTTATTTTATTTTTCCTTCCCTTCCCCTATGTTATCTGTTTTGTTTCTTAAATTCCACATGTGAGTAAAATCATATGGTATTTGTATTTGACTGACATTTCACTTAGCATAACACTCTCTAGTTCCATCCACCTCCTTGCACATGGCAAGATTTCATTCTTTTTCATGGCTGAGTAAAACTCCATTGTAGACATATACCACATCTTCTTTATCTATTCATTGTCAACGGATATCTGGGCTCTTTCCATAGTTTGGCTTTTGTGGACATTGCTGCTATAAACATTGGGGTGCAGGTGCCCCTTCAGATCACTATGTTTGTATCCTTTGGATAAATACCTAGTAATGCAATTGTTGGGTCGTAGGGTAGCTCTATTTTTAACTTCTTGAGGAACTTCCATGCTGTTTTCTAGAGTGGCTGCACCAGCTTGCATTCCCATCATCAGTGTGGGAAGGTTCCCCTTTCTCCGCATCCTCTCCAACACCTGTTGTTTCTGGAGTTGTTAATTTTAGCCATTATGACTGGTGTGAGGTGATATCTCATTGTGGTATTGATTTGTATTTCCCTGATGCCGAGCGATGTTGAGCACTTTTTCATGTGTCTTGGCCAGTTGTATGTTGTCTTTGGAGAAATGGCTGTTCATGTCTTCTGCCCATTTCTTGATTGGATTATGTGTTCTTTGGGTGTTGAGTTTGGTAAGTTCTTTATAGATTTTGGAAACCAGCCCTTTACCTGATACGTCATTTGCAAATATCTTCTTCCATCCTGTAGGTTGTCTTCTGGTTTGTCATCTGTTTCCTTTGCTGTGCAAAAGCTTTTTATCTTGATGAAGTCCCAATAGTTCATTTTTGCTTTTGTTTCCCTTGCCTCTGGAGATGTGTCTAGCAAAAAGTTGCTGCAGCTGAGGTCACAGAGGTGGCTGCCTATGTTCTCTAGGATTTTGATGGATTCCTGTCTGACATTTAGGTCTTTAATCCATTTTTAGTTTATTTTTGTGTGTGGTGTAAGGAAATGGTCCAGTTTCATTCTTCTGCAGGTGGCCGTCCAGTTTTCCCAACACCATTTGTTAAAGAGACTGTCTTTTTTCCACTGGATATGCTTTCCTGCTCTGTTGAAGACGAGTTGACCATAGAGTTGAGGGTCCATTTCTGGGTTCTCAATTGTGTTCCAGTGATCTTTGTGTCTGTTCTTGTGCCAGTACCATACTGTCTTGATTACAGCTTTGTAATAGAGCTTGAGGTCTGGAATTGTGATGCCACCAGCTTTGCTTTTCTTTTTCAACATTCCCCTGGCAATTTAGGGTCTTTTCTAGGTTCCATACAGATTTTAGGATTATTTGTTCCACTCTGTGGAAAAAAAAACTGATGCTATTTTGATAGGGATTGCATTGAATGTATAGATTGCTGTAGGTAGCATAGACATTTTAACAATATTTGTTCTTCTAGTCCATGAGCATGGAAAGTTTTTCCATTTCTTTCTGTCTTAATTTCTTTCATGAGTGTTCTATAGTTTCCAGAGTACAGATCCTTTGCCTCTTTGATTAGGTTTATTCCTAGGTATCTTATGGTTTTGGTGCAATTGTAAATGGGATCAGTTCCTTAATTTCTTTCTTCTGTCTCATTTTTAGTGTATAGAAATGCAACTGATTTCTGTACATTGATTTTATATCTTGCCACTTTGCTGAATTCCTGTATTAGTTCTGGTGATTTTGGGGTGGAGTCTTTTGGGTTTTCCACATAGAGTATCGTGTCATCTGCAAAGAGTGAGAGTTTGGCTACTTCTTTGCCGATTTGGATGCCTTTTATTTCTTATTGTTGTCTGATTGCTGAGGCTAGGACTTCTAGTACTCTGTTGAACAACAGTGGTGATAGTGGACATCCCTGTCCTGTTCCTGAATTTAGGGTAAAAGCTCTGTTTTTCCCCCCACGGAGAATGATATTCGCTGTGGGCTTTTCATACATGGCTTTTATGATATTGAGGTATGTTCCCTCTGTCCCTACACTGTGAAGAGTTTAAATCAAGAAAGGATGCTGTACTTTGTCAAATGCTTTTTCTGCATCTATTGAGAGGATCATATGGATCTTGTTTTTTCTTTTATTCATGTGGTGTATCACATTGATTGACTTATGGGTGTTGAACCACCCTTGCAGCCCAGGGATAAATCCCACTTGGTCATGGTAAATAATCCTTTTAATGTTTTATTGTTGGGTCCTGTTGGCTAGTATCGTGGTGAGAATTTTTGCATCCATGTTCATCAGGGATATTGGTCTATAATTCTTTTTGGTGGGGTCTTCGGTTTTGGGATCAAGGTAATGCTGGCCTCATAAAATGAGTTTGGAAATTTTCCTTCCATTTCTATTTTTTGAAACAGCTTCAGAAGAACAGGTATTAATTCTTCTTTAAATGTTTGGTAGAATTCTCGTGGGAAGCCATCCGGCCCTGGACTCTTGTTGGTTGGGAGACTTTGGATTACTGCTTCAATTTCCTTGCTGGTTATGGGTCTGTTCAGGTTTTCTAGTTCTTCCTGTTTCAGTTTTGGTAGTTTATAAGTGTCCAGGAATGCATCCATTTCTTCCAGATTGCCTAATTTGTTGGCATATAGTTGCTCATAGTATGTTCTTAACCATTTTTTGTATTTGGTGTTGGTTGTGATCTCTACTCCTTCATTCATGATTTTATTTGCTTGGGTCCTTTCTCCTTTTTGATAAGTCTGGCTAGGGGTTTATGGATCTTATTAATTCTTTCAAAGAACCATCTCCTAATTTTGTTGATCTGTTCCACTATTCTTTTGGTTTCTATTTCATTGATTTCTGCACTAATCTTTTAATTTTATTATGTTAATGTTAGTCACCAAACATTACATCATTAGTTTTTGATGTAGTGTTCCATGATGCATTGTGTTCCATTCAATACGTGCCCTCCTTAATCCGCTCTAATCTCTTTTAATTCTCTTCTGCTGCTGGGTTTAGGGTTTATTTTCTATTCTTTCTCTAGCTCTTTTAGGTGTAAGGTTAGGCTGTGTACTTGAGACTTCTCTTGTTTCTTGAGAAAAGCCTGTGTTGCCATATACTTCCTTCTTAGGACCACCTTTGCTGCATCACAAAAGTTTACAACAGTTGTGTTTTCATTTTCATTTCTTTCCATGAATTTTTTAAATTCTTTAATTTCCTAGTTCACCCATTCATTCTTTAGTAGGATGCTCTTTTAACCTCCATGTATTTCTGTTCCTTCCAAATTTCCTCTTGTGATTGAGTTCAAGTTTTAAAGCATTGTGGTCTGAAAATATGCAGGGAATAATCCTAGTCTTTTGGTACTGGTTGAGACCTAATTTATGACTCAGTATGTGATCTATTCTGGAGAACGTTCCATGTGCACTTGAGAAGAATGTATATTGTTGCTTTAGGATGGAATGCTCTGAATGTATCTGTGAAGTCAATCTGGTCCAGTGTGTCATTCAAAGCCCTTGTGTCCTTGTTGATCTTCTGCTTAGACAATCTGTCCATTGCTGTGAGTGGAGTGTTAAAGTCCCCTACTATTAGTATATTATTGGTGTGTTTCTTTAATTTTGTTATTAATTGGTTTATATAATTGGCTGCTCCCATGTTAGGGGCATAAATATTTACAACTGTTAGATCTTCTTGTTGGATAGACCTTTAATTATGATATGGTGTCCTTCCTCATCTCTTATTACTGTCTTTGCTTTAAAATCTAATTTGTCTGATATAAGGATTGCCAACCCAGCTTTCTTTTGAGGTCCATTAGCATGATCAGTGGTTCTCCACCCCCTCACTTTCAACCTGGAGGTGTCTTTGGATCTAAAATGAGTCTCTGGTAGACAGCATATCAATGGGTCTTGCTTTTTTATCCAATCTGATAGCCTGTGTCTTTTGATTGGAGCATTTAGCCCATTTACATTCAGAGTAGCTATTGAAAGATATGAATTTAGTGCCATAGTATTACGACCTGTAAAGTCACTGTTTCTGTATATTGTCTCTGTTCCTTTCTGATCTATGTTACTTTGGGGCCCTCTCTTTGCTTAAAGGATCCCTTTTAATATTTCCTGTAGGGCTGGTTTAGTGATCACAGATTTAGTATCTTTTTGTCCTGAAAGCTCTTTATCTCTCCTTCTAGTCTGAATGACAGCCTTGCTGGATAAGGTATTCTTGGCTGCATATTTTTCTCATTTAGCACCCTGAATAAATCATGCCAGTCCTTTCTGGCCTGCCAGGTCTCTGTGGACAGGTCTGCGGCCAGCCTTATTGTCTACCCTTGTAGGATAATGACCTCTTGTCCCAAGCTGCTTTTAGGATTTTCTCTTGAAACAGGTGTTTTAATAGGGATTCTGGGGCGCCTGGGTGGCTCAGTCAGTTAGACGTCTGCCTTCAGCTCAGGTCATGATCCCAGGGTCCTGGGATCAGGCCCCACATCGGGCTACCTGCTCTGCAGGGAGTCTGCTTCTCCCTCTGTGCCTCCTCCCACTCATTCTTTCTCTCTCTCTCAAATAAATAAATGAAATCTTTTTAAAAAAAAAAGTAGGGATTTTGAACCTAACTCCAACTCACTTGAGCAAAAGAAGGAACTTAGTGATTCCCATATACAAAATGCACAGATAGCAGGCTTCAGGACCAGCTGGATCCAGGCATTTAAACCATGTCATCAGGGGTCCCTCTCACACCATCTTTAGCTCTGTTCTCTTTTGTTAGATTCAGTTGTCTCAACATGAAAATGGATTGCTTCCTGTGAAGGAGGGAGGCCACTAGCTGGCTGACATATCGGCTGAAGCTGGCACCTCACTGGAAAGAGAACTTTCCCATCCAAATTATCCCTATAAAAGTCCCAAGACTGAGTTTCATTGGCTGGCCTGGGTCACATGACCATACCTGGCTCAGTCACCGTGAGCAGGGACACAGGATGCTCTATTTGTCCGGGCCTGGAAGACCGAGGTCAGTCCTGAGAACTACCTAGTCTGAGAGTAGAGAAGGACAGTTTTCCCAAGAAACACCAGAAGACCGGGCTGTGGATGCTAGGCAGGCAGCAACACAGCCGGGCCCCACACAGCAATCCCGGCCTCTGCAGGATGGCAGCAACGCTCTGGGTTCTGCCTTCTTCCCAGCAGCTGGGCCTCACTGCTTGGGGGTCCCACCTCCAACACCTCAGAGCCCCCAGCAGGGACCTTCCCTCTTTTCCAAGCAGACTGTTCTCGTCCAAACATGCCATGAGCATACCTCAGAGAATCCAGCCCACCACTCATTTCCAAGAGAAAACAGATGGCCCAAATTATTCTGTGTTTCCTAATGCTTCTGCATAGCGCCATGTGGGCCCCCTCAGAGTTCCAGAGTCACAAAAGCAGAGTGTTCGCTCCACACTTGGGACCAACTGTTGTATTTTGTTTTTCTTCTTCTTCTTCAGGATCATGAGTCCTGTGAAAAACAACGTGGGCAGAGGCCTGAACATTGCCCTGGTGAATGGTGAGCTGCTGATCCACCCCCCAGATAGCCCCCACCACGCTCTTAGAACTGCAGGCAGGGGGTAGGGGGAGGTAGTTAACATTCATTCAGCCAACACTGACTTATCTCCTACTACATGCCTGGGGCCATCCTCTAGTGCATGGGAGGGAAAGCTTGTGGGGACAAAGGATCCAAAAGACCTGGTGCTGCTTTCCAGAGTCTTGACCAGGCCTCTGCTGTGTACAGCTATCCCAGGAGGATATGCTTCTCCTGTGAAGCATGACCCCATCCTCAAGGCCATGCAGCCTAAACCAACACACGAAACCATGGGGGGGGGGCAACCACCAACAATGTGAGGTGATGAGGTGATTGCACACTTTCATTCTCTCATTCAACAAATACCGACAGCAGCTACCCTGTGGTGCCCATGAAGTTGACTTCCAATCCAATGGGGTGAGCATCTGTGAAGGAGAAGGAAGCACAGCCCCGAGAACTCGGACACAGAGCTGGGGATGGGGGTCATCAGGAGAGGCTTCCGGAGAGAGGTGTTGGTCAGCTGAGGCCTGAAGGATAATCGGAGTTGGCCAGAAAAGTAGGGGAGGCTCCTTTGAGGCTGGGGCAACACTGTGCAGGGAGCAGAGAAGGAAGGAGTGGGGAGAGGGATTGGGGACCACACAGGGTCTTTGTGGATGCACCAGAGAAGGAGGGATGACAGGTACAGCAGGGAAGGGGGGCAGGCAGGATGGCAGGGTGAGGGGCTAAGCGTCCTGCTAAGAAGTATGGGCTTGAAGCTAAGGACAATAGGGAGCCTCAAAAAGGCTATGAGCAGGGTGTGAGGGCCTAGCCCTGCATTACAGAAACTTCCTTCCAGCTTGGAGTAGGGAGGCTGGAGGCAGGGAGATGTTGAGGGGAGGCCCACAGCCTCACTACGCTGCATCTCTTGCAGGGAGCAACTGCAGGCCAAGCCTGAAACAGGGACACATTTCAGGAGGGGGTGGGTTTACAGGGACAGAGTCAGGACCAGGTGTTCTGCCCTGGCCAAGACCCTCCTCTCTGCCTTCGGGGAGGCATGGATGAGATGGAGAGCAAAGGCCAATTCCCTGAATCTAAGAGCCACTTCCTGGGACAAAAGTCAGGGCAAGTGGACAAAGGGCACAGCAGACAGGAAGGAAAAGGCCAAGCGTGTGTATGCGGCATGACCATGTGAACACACTTAGGAAGTGACAGGGATTGGATTGGCTGCTCCTAGGGGAGCCATCTCCCTTCTGCCAAGAAATCCTGCTGAGTCAGGGGACAGGTCAAAGCCTGGGGCAAAAATGGAGCCTTACCCAGAACAGGAGGTCAGAAGGCAGCCCTGGTCAACTTCCGGGAAGCCCGAGAAAGGTGGGGCCTGGGAGGGGCAGGAGGCTGAGCAGGGCATGCCGCCTCCAAAGTCTTGAGAAGGAGAGCGAGGCCTGATTCACTCCATTGGCAGGTCCTTCCTCCCGGGAGGGCACAGCAGCTGTTCTACCTAATCCCCGCTCACCCCCCATCCCCGAACCCTCCCCACTGCGCAGGAGCTTGCCCTGGCCACAGCCCATCTGGCTGAAACCTGCTGGTTCTCTCCTCCCTGAAATGGGCCACTGCAGAAGAAGACCTCTTTGAATAGTCTCCCGGGAGACAGGCTTAGACTAGGGCCGCCTCCTCTTCCCCTCATAAAGCGCAAAGACAAAAACAAGCATCAGTAACACCAAGAGCTAACGTTTATTGAGCCTTTGCTGTGTGCTAGCTATTTCATTCAACCTCCTCCGCATGCCAGAGTGGAGTTGTGCACAGTCTCCCCATGTTCCAGGTAAGAAAGTGGAGGCTCGGAGAGGTTAGGCCTCGTGCCCAAGGTTACCCAGCCGATAGAATCATCTAGATTTGAACCTGGATCTGACTGACTCCAGGTTGTAATCACTCAGCTGAACTAATTTCCCTAGACTAAGAACCTCTCGAAGCATCTACTGCATGCTAGCTGTGGAGAAGTCCAAGGAATCATTCTCCGGGCCTCGGGGTCTCATCTGTATATTAAGCCAGCAAGGATTGCTAAAGATTGGTGGTTTTCAGTCTTTTAGGGGGCAGAGATTCCTTTAAGAGACTGTTCAAACTATACCTCCTCCCCCTAATTCCAGAAAAATACACAAATGAACATGATCAGTTTCATGTGTGCATAGACCCCCACCCTTCCCCCACCCCTTTCCAAGGAGCCTACACTGGTGTCTGAGAATCCAGGAAGGGCTGCAGTGTAAACCCCCCCACACCCACCCAGCAGGAGAGCCTCCACTATCTAGACCCCTGTCCCTACCCTCTTCGGGGATCCACAAACTGGCTTGGGGGGGAGGGACCCGGGGAGAAACTATAGAGCTGCCATCCCCTCTGCAACACCCCCATCTAGTGGCAGAGAGTGAGAACTGCGACTTCCCCCAGATACCTGGTTCCCTGTAGTACTTGGACCCTTTGCAAAATACACAAACACGATTCAGATGACTGGACTCAGAGCTTTGAGTACATTCAGCCCACTGCAAATCCCTTTGCCTTCAAGAATTGGAGGATTCAGATGTCCTATTTAGGAAGGAATAATGATAATGATTGCAGTTATTTTTATTACTGTTTTCCAGCTAAAATTTGTCTTGTATGTTTACTACCTAGTTTAAATACATCTCCCTTAGTTCCCATAGCCCATTGTTCAGATGCAACAATTGAGGTCAAAATACTAAGCGGTGTGTTAGGAAGTGGCAAGGCAGAACACAGACCCAGATTGGTTCGATACCGTTCAATTCCAGAGATCCTTCACCATTTTGTCCTTGTACCTCTCGGATCAGCCCAGAAGTTACTGGGCCCCTACTCAGTCCTGCATGCTTTCTATAGGAGCTGACTTGACTCCATTATTATTCCATTTTTAGATCTTAGACTAAAGAGTAGCCATTTTCTGCAAAACAATAGGCAGGATGACCTGTTTCAGGAAATCACAGTTTTGCTCTCTCATGTGCAGGAACCACAGGAATAGTGCTGACGCAGAAATGTTTCGACATGTACTCTGGAGGTAGGCATCTCTGTTGGCACTGAGGGCACAGGGTGGGCTGAGCTCCTATGGCAAGAGAGCCGTCAGGGTGCTGGGATGCTCAGCTCTCGTCTCCAGAGAAGACCAGAAAGAAGCATGGTAGGGGTGGAGGACCATCCTGCTGTCTTTGAAGCTCCTTTCTGCTGTCTTATTTAGTTGGACTCTCCTGGGTGCAGATCCTGAGACCAGGAGTCAGGTGCAACAGTTTATTTGGGAAGAGGTGATCGCAGGAAATGCCAGCAGGAAGCGAGACGGAGAGGGAGACAGCCAGAACAGTGTGTTACCAGGCTGAATGCTGCAGGCAATTGGAACTCGGGAGCCGGTGTCAAGTACATGCCTCAGATCTCAGAGGGGCAAGGGAGCTGGGGCACTCCCACCCCTAGTTCCTTGGCACTTCCCACCTGCCTGGCTTGCCCCAGGGCACAGAGGAGGATCTGGAGGTCAGAGAGGACCTTAAGGCAAAGAAACACTGGTGCTGGCTTTTGGAGGCCAAGCAGTTGCACACTCTCAAGTGCTAAGGACAAGGACACATGGCCCACTTAGCTCTGCTAGGTAAAAGGTATTTTATTTTAAGGCCACAGGGGTCTCTCTTGGGCCCAAGGACAGGACAGGCCTCCCAAGGCCCGGAAGGGATCGCTCTGAGGCTCCAAGCTCTCTGCGTCTTTCTGCAGATGTCTTTTCTTCCCTCTCTGTACGCTCTGGGCATGTGACCACCCCACTGTCCTCCCCGCTCTTAGCACAGCCTGGGGACAGGACCCTGCCCTACCTGAGCTGGACATTCCCACCAGCAGCTTCTTCAGCTCCAGGCTGCCTGGCCAAGCCGTGCTGGGGGCGGGAGTCTCACCCAACAATCCTGACATCTTCTAAAACACGGTGGAATCCGTCCCAAACTCAGTATGCCACCCACTGCCTAGCTGGCAACCTGCCTCCCTCCCTCTAACCCGGAAGCCTCACCCAGGAGTGAAGAAGCGGCAGGGCAGCCCTTGCAGGCAGCAGACATCTGGGTCCTGCAAGGACGGGTTTCCATCGAGATGGATGAACTGAGCTCAGCCCCCTTCTCAGAGTTCAGCTCAGCTCCAGTTTCCCTCCCCTGTGCCAGTGATCTCAAGGCCGGCTCTGGGCTCGGGCATCCCTACCTTCCTGTGCCCACCTAAACACATGAGCCCCAGAGGGGACAAAGGCAGCAAGACAGGGAGAAGCCCTCTTGGCTTTGCAAACAAAGGAGGGGGAGCTGAAAGGCAGGCAGTGGGAATCGGGTGCCCAGCAGTCACAGCTGGGAACGTTGGGAAGGTGATGTGCAGCACCAGGCTTGAAGACAGCAGCTGGTACCCTGTCCTGGGCCCAGGGCTTAAGAGGGTCCCCTGGGTTCCCTGATAGCCATCCTCCAGCGAGTCCCACCTCACAGGTAGGGTCTGCAGGGCCCAATAATGTGCCAACCAGCAGCCTGCATCAAGGCCCACGCAGACCGAGGGCTGGCCAGGGCTTGGCAGTGGCTGGGGTGGTCGGGGGAGGACGGAGCTTGGACAGGCAGGCACGCGAGGCCCCTCCTGGTGCAGGACAGAGCTGGAGACAGGTGAGGAGATGGTGGGGCAGGCTGTGGGCCGAGGGCCAGAGGCCATCGTGTGTCCTCTGTCCAGGACCATGCACGTGCTCGGGGTGGCCCGGGGCCAGGTTTATGGAAAAGGTCCAGTCTCTGGAATCAAAGACTTCAGGCTGAGGCAGGTGTCATCTTGTGAACTTCAGTTTTGTCATCTGTAAAATAGCGGTAAACCACAGTGTCCGCTTCAGGAGACGGATCTAGGGGATTGGGTAGGAACTGGCACCAATCAGTGGGAGGCGCCCAGGGTGCATTCAGCCTTTTCCCTTCCCTCCTCCCTCCCTCCATCCACATGACTCATGAAGCAAGGAGGTCATTGTCAGAATAAAAAGGGTTAAAATTTTTATTTTTATTTAAATTCAACTAACATATAGTGTATTGTTAGTTTCAAAGGTAGAGTTCAGTGATTCATCAGTCTTCTAGAACACCCAGTGCTCATTACATCACCCAGTTACCCCATCCACCTACCCCACCCCACCCCCCGCCCAGCAACCCTCAGTTTGTTTCCTGGAGTTAAGCCTCTCTTATGGTATATCTCCCTCTCTCATTTCATCTTGTTTTATTTTTTCTTCCCTTCTCTGTTTCTTAAATTCCATATGAGTGAGATCATATGATAATTGTCTTTCTCTGATTCACTTATTTTGCTTAGCGTAATACCCTCTAGTTCTATCCACATCATTGCAAATGCAAGATTTCATTTTTTTTTGATGGCTGAGTAGTATTCCCTTGTATGTATATATACCATATCTTTATTTATTCATCTGTTGATGGATATCTAGGCTCTTTCCATAGTTTGGCTATTGTGGACATCGCTGCTATAAATATCGGGGTGCATGTGCCCCTTCAGGTCACTACATTTGTATCTTTGTGGTAAATACCTAGTAGTGCAATTGTTGGGTCCTAGGGTAGCTCCATTTTCAACTTTTTGAGGAACCTCCTTACTGTTTTCCAGAGTGACTGCATCAGCTTGCATTCCCACCAACAGTGTAGGAGGTTCCCCTTTCTCTGCATCCTCGCCAACACCAGTTGCTGGAGTTGTTAATTTTAGCCATTCTGACTGGTGTGAGGTGGTATCTCATTGTGGTATTGATTTGTATTTCCCTGATGCCGAGCGATGTGGAGCATTTTTTCATGTATTTGTTGGCCATTTGGATGTCTTCTCTGGAGAAATGGCTGTTCATGTCTTCTGCCCATTTCTTGATTGGATTATTTGTTCTTTGGGTGTCAGGTTTAAGTTCTTTAAAGATTTTGGATACTAGCCCTTTATCTGATATGTCATTTGCAAATATCTTGTCCCATTTTGTAGGTTGTCAAAAAGGGTAAAAAATAATTTAAACTAAATTTTGTATTGCTCTATTATGAACATGGATGTAACGATGGCTGATGGGGACCCAGAAACAGAAGCATTTGAGGACAAGTTGCCCCTTCCCACAAGAGATAAAAGAAGGCAATGACTTCTTAAAGTGAGAGGATAATTAATAGAAGGCACACTTCATTTTTTTCCAAACATTACTGTCCATCCCAGACAAGAACAGATCTTGATATCTGGAGCTAACGGCTCCAACTGATTTTCAGAGTTCCTTCTTTTATCTCAGGAGTTCAAGGGCCGTTTCCCTAACAGAGCCTCTGTGGTCACTGACTGTAGGCCTCTGTGTTACTGAGCTGGTTGGCAGCTGGCCTTGCTTTCAGGATTTGATTCTTCCCCTAGGTCCAAGGGATCACTGGGGAATACTAAGAACTGGCTTATCTTCATGGGTGTGGGCCTGTGGGCAGGGCAGCCATACAGCCCTGCACCGAGAGCAAACTCAGGTTTGGTCTGATGCTCTGCCTTCACCTGTCTTGAAATTCTTAATTTTTTAACAAAAGGCTCCACATTTTCATTTTTCACTGGGCTCTGAAAATTATGTCACTGATCCTGCTAATAATTACAATTCCATTATAGTGCACTTTCTGTATGCCCAGAGTCATCGTCACATTTGCTGTTTACAAAAATGCTATGGGCAGGGCTATGAATCATCCTCGTGGGACAGATGTGGCCCCCTACTTATCCCACTAGGCCAATCTTGCCCCTACTTCCTCAACCATTCAAGAGCCCCCTGCACAAGTTACACCATATTCAGAGTACCATCTGAATTATTAGTATTTTCCTTTGAATAAACTCACTTTTTTTTAACCTAAATAAATCTATCTTAAAAGGAAATTATATCACTGCCCTAAGTTATCAGTTTTTATGCAGGAAAGGTGACCATAAAAATAAGCACAATGGAAACAAACCCATGTCTTGAAGCGAGCTGGGTGCTGATGCCTCCACCAGGCGCTGCACCTAGGCCTGCTCTCTGGTAAGTGCAGAGATTTCACAAGTGCAAGGAGGTGTTAAAGATGCAAAGGGAGGTTTGCTCCTTGGCATAAGCTGGAGAACTGTAGGACACTGATGTTCTCGCTCAGTGACCTGCGTTTCCTGTGGTGCGGTGGATCTCCTCTAAAGTCAGCACAGACAGGTTCTTAACCAGCGTAGAAGGAGGTGGCAGGGGGTGTGCAAAGAGCCGAGAGTTCCTGAGAGATGACTGTGCTCCATTCCTCAGGTACAGGTCCTCAAGGGCCCTTAGAACAATGTCTCACTCCTGGCTGCACATCAGAATCTCCTGTGGAACTTTTAAATTCCAGTGTCCACCCCTGACCACCTGCATGAGGCCACCTTTGCTCCATGCACTTTTCTCTCCCCTGGAGAGGGCTGCAGGGAGCTTCACCCAAGGTGTCGCCTCCTGCTGGCCCCTGAGCTTCAGGTGGACCTCTGTGTCAGCCTGCCCCTGGCCACTCCTGGATCTTCAGGGCAGTAGCACAGAATGAGAATGACCAGTGGTCATTTCCCATAAATGACCCTGGAGAGGGCTGCCCGGAGCTTCACCCAAGGTGTCGCCTCCTGCTGACCCCTGAGCTTCAGGTGGACCTCCGTGTCAGCCTGCCCCCGGCCACTCCTGGATCTTCAGGGCAGTAGCACAGAATGAGAATGACCAGTGGTCATTTCCCATAAATGACCAGCACCCCGCTTTTCTTCCTCCCCCAGATGTTAAGCTCCTGGTAAAATTCCTTAAAGACATCCCAGAGGGCACTCTGGTGCTAATGGCCTCCTATGATGACCCAGGAACCAAGTAAGTGGGAACGTCCACCTGCCCGGCCATGGGTTGAAGGGAACCAAATTCTTCCAAGTCCTAAGTGCCTTTTCTCTGCTCTCCCGCTGGCTCTGTCTTCTGGCAGCTTCTCCTGGGGAAATAACCAGACCAGTGCATGACGACATGTTCATGGAGGCTCACCACAGCCTCAGTTACAACATTGGAAAGCTGGACACACTGTCCCTGTCCAGTGAAGACCAACTAGTTACAGAAAATATGACACATGTTGATATGTGACATTATATGTACATAGAAGAGGATCTACATCAAAAATGATATAGAAAATAATTTAAGGATATGGAAGAATGCTCACCCCTTAGTATTAAGTGAAAACAAAACGTTATAAAAGCATTGGTATGATCCCCCAGTGTGTGGGGAACAAAGATATTAAGGAAATACATTAAAATGTTACAGTGATAATGTCAAGACTGTAATTTTTAGTTCCTCTGTGATCTATATTTTCCAAATAAACATGTATATTTGTAAACAGAAGCAAACCCGTACTAGTGGCCACTCGGCCCTATTCCTTCTGAGCACAACCCTGCACGGCATAGCTGCTGCACCCGACGGACAGTGGGGCAGAGGGTAGGCCAAGTGCTTGAGAACCTTGCCCCTCTCCACCCCCCCCCTCCACCTCACTGTCCTCTCTGGTCCTCTGCAGAATGAATGATGAGACCAGGAAGCTCCTCTCCAGCTTGGGCAGTTCCTATGCAAACCAGCTGGGCTTCAGAGATAGCTGGGTCTTCTTAGGGGCCAAAGACCTCAAGGATAAAAGCCCTTTTGAGCAGGTGAGTTCCTGGCGGCCTCCCCATCCTCGTGAGGCAGGTGGGGGTAAGGTGCCAGGGATGGATGGTCAAGGACTAGGGTGGCTTGGGCGGGACAGTGTGGGGACCTCAGAGGTCAGGGTGGCCCAACCGGCTAATCCCCCAGCGGGAAGTAGCCTTGACCATTTTGCAAGGATCTGGGTCATATATAAATGGATAAGTACCAGAAAGGAGAAGGAAGAGAAGAAGGCGGAGGGAAGTGAGGAATGGGAAAAAGAGAAAGGAACACAGAGATGAAGGCTGCATGATGGGTAGAGCAGGGGGCGGGATGTCTGGCTTCTAGTCCCAAAGGAAACCTAAGCCAAGCCTCTATCTCCACTCCCCTGCCCCGGGCCTCAGGCTCCCCACCAGAGGGGAGAGGTTTAGACCTCTGCCCTGTGGAGAGGATAAATTTGCATCAAGAGGAGGACACAGGGGACGCCTGGGGGGCACCTGGCGTCTGCCTTCGGTTCAGGTCATGACCCCAGGGTCTGGGATCGAGTCCCACGTGGGGCTCCCCGCTCAGCAGGAGGCCTGCTCCTTTTCCCACTTCCCCTGCTTGTGTTCCCTCTCTCTCTGTCTCTCTGTCAAATAAATAGATAAAAATCTTTAAAAAAAAAAAAAAAAAAAGGCAAGCCCACCTGAGAACATGGAAGGGGTCAGGAGTGGTCCATGACATGTGGTTCCACAGCCACTATCCAGGTCCCAAGCAGAGTCCGGAGTCTCAGGAGTGCTCAGGGGAGGAAAGGGGAGTCGATGATGGGGTGGAGCCTCCAGAGAAATGCTGAACCCTCTCTCCCTGTCCGGCATCTGCATCCCCAGCTCAGAGCAATTCCCAAATGTGGGAGAACTAGCCAGATCTGCCCTGGCCTGATGTAGTCCATTGTCTGGTGGTGAGAATATTCAGCTCTGCCCAGATTCCAAGGCAGGCAAAGAGTTGATGATTCGGACATACAAGACTACGGAGGAGAGTGAACTCTATCCTGAAGGCAGTGGGGAGCCATGGAAGGCTTAAGCGGAAAAGCGACAAGAGCAGATAGATACGTAAGAAACACTAGCATTCAGCAAGCACTCGCTCTGTGCAGGCTCGGCTGAGCAAGTTACCTGCAGCGCCGCCTTTAATTCCCGCAATGAAGTAGGTACAATTCTGCTCCCACCCCACAGTCGAGGATCTGGAGCCGAGGAGAGGTTTTATTTTTTTTTTTTTTAAGATTTTATTTATTTATTTGACAGAAACACAGCAAGAGAGGGAACACAAGCAGGGGGAGTGGGAGAGGGAGAAGGAGCCTTCCCTCAGAGCAGGGAGCCCGATGCGGGGGGCTCGATCCCAGGACCCTGGGGTCATGACCTGAGCCCAAGGCAGATACTTAACGACTGAGCCACCCAGGCGCCCCCCAAGGAGAGGTTTTAGCCAGCTTGTTTGGATCTGATGCAGATGTAGCTCTCATCCAGGTGTGGCGGCCTCCACACAGATTCCCGTCCTGATGCTTTTAGCACAGCCTCCCTGACTGAGCACAGGGAGGAGGCCCAGGTGGTAATCAGACCCAAGGCACAGCAGCCTGCAGGGGAGGGGCTGTGGGAGGCAGGGGAGCAACCACCTCTAGACACTAGACTCCAGGTGCGGGGACCACAATGGGCTGCAAGGGTTTTTGCCTTGTCTGGAAAATGCTGGCCTGGTTGGTATGTGTGAGTTTCTAAGAGAATGAATTCAGGTTGTTAGAAATTACTTTTTTGAAATGGTGGTACAAAGTAGCTTGTGCTGGAGGAGACAAGGAGGGAGCCCTCTATAGCCTCCTGGTGAAGAACAACGGCGGCAGAGTGGGGCTCCAGAGCATACCTGTGCAAGGGGGGGATGGGCAGACCCATCACCCAGAATGAACTGGAGACCATCATTGAGCGGAACCATTAGGTCCTTTGTTCCCACGCATGCGGTTCTGGGTTTTAGAGTCATAGCATCTAGAATAACTTTTATCCCTGAGGGTGGGCCACAATTATTCCACGGGTAGATTTTGCTATTTACATTTTTTTCCTCCATAAACTAAGCCTAGGCACTTTAAACACCATCTTAACTGATTTTATTCTCTCTATATTTATTATTATTACACAGCGGTTCTGCCCCAGGGCTACTTTGGCCCTCTGTGCCTCAGGTTCCCCATCTGCAGAATGGGATGGTAATAGTATGCCCTTCTTAGGGCTATTGTAAGGAATAAATACATAAGGCACTTTGCACCTGGCATAGAGCAAGTGTTCACGAATTGTGAGGATGCCTCTTTTCATTGTTGTGCTGGTTGTTTGGGGGTGTCCTAGAAAGGCTGATGGAGAATTTGGCAGAGGAGCTAACGTTCTGCAAGCCTGCCCCCCAGTGCTTGGTACCCCACCCCCCCAGGGCAGGACAGGCGAGGACTGAGCTCTGATCTCCTCTGTAAAACCTTGGGCACGTGGCCGTCCCTCTGCACCTCAGTTTCCCCACCTGTGAAATGGGCTGGTCCTATCCCCCACCACAGCCGCCTCCGCATGGGGCTGAAGCCAGGGCAGAGTGAATGAAGGCAGGAGGTCTTAAAGCACAGTGAAAGCTCAGGTCTGACTCCTGAATAGCCTCCCCCATGGTCTGTGTTACTCTCTCTTTCTCTCTCTCCCCTCTCTCTCTCTCTAGTTCTTAAAGAACAACCCAGACTCGAACAAATATGAGGGCTGGCCGGAGCTGCTGGAGCTGGAGGGCTGTGTTCCCCAGAAGGTATTTTAGGGCGGCTGCAGGACTCAAGGAGCCCCTAGCTGTCCTAGCGTCAGGTGCAGCGGGAAGAAGGAAGCCAGGTGGCCTGTGGAAAGTTCCTCAGGGGGGAGGGGGGGCCGCGCCCTCTGCGAACCTCCCTTCTCCGGAAGCAGCGCCCTCCCAGCCGAGGTGGCCAGCCATCAGGGGTCCTTCCGGAGCCCATCTGCTTTCCCTTGAGGCCAGTGGTTGCGCCCAAGGAAGGACGGACTGCCTGCACCTGCAGCGCACCATTAAATTTTATTTTTGCTGATTTTGAATGAATTCTTGACCTTCCGATGTGCCGCGTTTCTCCCTGGGATCGAACTGGCCCAGGCCAGGTTGGCTCGGGGCGCAAACTGGGACGAGTTGGTGACGGCTTCGGGCACCAGGTTAGGCTGCTGGAAGACAGGTTGATATCCTAGGGATTTCGCCCAAGGGTGAATGAATGAATCGTTGGCTCCCAGCATGAGATGTAAGACCTCTGGGAGCAGAGAGCGCCAGAGGACGGGACACGGAGCACGTTGTCTTCCTCTGCTGCTTGCATGAGAGCTGGAGGCTCCAGAGCCGGGGGGGGGGGGGGGGGGGGCGGGGGGGGGGGGGGGGGGGGGATGGGGGGGGGGGGGACACCGTGTGAGGAAGGCTGGGAGGAAGAGGCAGGCTGCTGGGCAGGCTTCAGGGAGGACATCCTGGCCGTCTTCGTCTTCGAGTGGCTCCCCAGGGGCAACCCCTGAGGTTTATTGGGGAGGTGATTCTGGGAAACAGTGGGGGTGGGGAAGGGAAGGCAGCCAGGAAAGGCTGTGTTGTCGACTCTCCTAGGGCTGTGGGTGAGTGGAGCTTAGTTCCTGGAGGACCCCCAGGAATCAGTATAGAATACACACATCAGAGATGTCTGAGCCAGGGTGAGGGAGCTGAGCTGCTTGTGCACCCATCATTTCTGGGGGGCTGCTAGTGTTGGGGCTGATGGGAATTCCTGAGCGCTTCTTGTCTGCCCTGCAGAGGAAAGCGTGGCCGTCCGTGGCTGCACAGTGAGTCCTTAGCCGAGAGACGTTGATACCAGCCACTGGAGCCCACGGAGGTGGTAAGGCCCACATACCCTGCCCGGGGTCTCTGAAGAGGGCTATGGGTGGGGTGCCTAGACCAAATCCTGGGAGGGGGACATGGGAGCAGACAGGACTGGTACCTGGGCTCCTGGAGTGTGGGCCAAGAAGACTGCAAAGCTCCCACAGAAGTGCAAATGCCCTGAGCCGTGGGCCAGCAGACAGGTCCTGTGCACACCAGTGAGGTGGGGCCCTGGGCACGGGCGGGGCTTCCAGTGCGCCAAGAGGGTCTGGGGTAGAGAGGAAGACGAGAGTGTGGGACCCTGCGGCCAGAGGACACGGTGGGCTGGGACTTGGGCTACAGTTACAGTGGGGTTGAGATCAGTGTTCAAAGCCCGGTAGGACAACTTGGAGCAGGTTGGGCTGAGGAAGTAATTCCATTACCCCATTTTCCCCCGGTGCAGATCACTCTCAGGGATTAAAGGGGGAGTTTGCTGGCAACCCCCACTGACTGCTACCCAGACACTCCATTTGTGTGGTGTAGGATGCCTGGCGGCTACATAAGCAAATGCATATGCTTCATCCCTCCCCTTTTGTTCCCAGTGGCAGGGTCCTCTGTTCACACCTGGCCGTCAGTGCCAAACAGGGCCGCCGCTGAACCCGGTCACCCTCCCTTTCCAGTCCCTGGGACCGAATGGTGGTTTTCTGCAGGCCCTGGACCCTGATGGTGCCACTCCTTTTCTCTCGGCTGACCCACTTCTTGTTCTCCTCTGTTGCAGGCAGTGTGGTAGACAGAAGGCAGAGCCTGGGTCTGAGTACTGGCTCTCCACTGGCTAGCTGGGTGAGCAGATGCCACCTCTCTGAGCCAGGAGCTCCCCGGTGAGAAATGGGGGATTCGATCTGTCTCTCAGGGGTGCATGGGCAGGAAATATAAAATATCCACAACGCCAAAAGTTGTCAAAGAAGAGAAAAAAATATATATATATATATATTTATATATTTGTGTATATATGTATGTATGGGAAAACAGCTGGCCAGATACCCACCCTGGGAATGAAGAAGGGGGGCAGGAAATTTCCATTACTACCATAAACACCTTTGTATGTTTGGGATCTTTCTTTACAACCAGCAAGAATACCTTATAAAATTAAAAGAACCAGTAAGGACTTCTAAAGTGAGTTCAGGGCCAGAAGTAGGGCTAGGCAGAGCTCTGGGCAGTGGCCGCTATTTTAAAAGGACATGGGGTGGCCTGCTGGTTGTAAGAGAAGACTCGTGGTACTTTTCCAGAAGCTGACTTGCATAGCACTTCAAAGAAGATTGAGAAAATGTCAACAGGATGAGTCAGAGAATTGGGGAAAGGGTCTCCCGGAGTGGGGGAGCACAGCGGAATGGCTGGTGCCCACCCAGGCCCCCTCACCCAGTTTTTGCCTCTAGGAGTCCATCTACAAGCCTCTTTGGAGAACCGCCCTCGGTCTACTTGTTCTTAGCTCCCAGAGGCAGAAAAAAGAGGCCAGGAGGTGCCAGAGTTGACATCACGGCAGGATGGTTCCTAGCTGCTGACCGCCCAGCTGGAGTGTACAAGCCCCGCTCCCTGTCCCGGGGCTGGACAGCCAGGAGCTACAATCTACACTCCACGGCTCCCCCAGGATCAAGCTGGGAGCTGACCTGAAAGTGTCCCTTTGCTTGGGTGTGTCTCCTTCCCTATCCTGCTCCCCTACCGCTCCCCTACCTGTGTCCTTAATCACCTGCATGAGAACACTCCCCCCCAAGTCGGCTTCTTGGGGAATCCATCCTAAGAGAGGCAGCGACCATGGCCAGCCAGGTGGAACTGAGCCTGGGCGAGGAGACAAGACCACCTGATAGGAATTGTCATAAAGAGAGTTCCCGGTGAGGAAGCCGCACTTGCCGCTGCCACACGGGACCTGTAGGAGAAGCCACCTGCTGGTGCATGCTGGAGAACACGAAGTGGGCCATGCCCCTCCCGCCTCCCCTCCTCAACCTGGGGCAGGCCTCAGTTGGCACATCCTCCACATGATGGCAGGGAGCCCAAATGACCATCAGTGGTACGACCGAAACCTACCAAGGAGATGACATTCTAGAGCCAGCCCCTTCTAGCCCCACCCACCCACCCCCGCCCTGCAGGGTGGGCATCACAAAGTAGCAAATACCCATCAGATGCTCAACACCATTTTCAGGGCACTGTGGCCACTATGGAGAGCCCCCCCCCAACCCCCCGCCAGCTCAGAATTAGGCAAGACAGTCTAAGAAAATGGCTGTAGAGAGTTGGGTCTACAGCCCCCTTCTGAGACTGTCTGCTAGTCCGTCATTACTCACCTGCTACACAAGAACTGGGTAGGCACTGGGGACACCATGGTGAAGAAAACCAGATGCAGTCCCTGCTCATAGGCCAGGGGGACCCAGCTCAAGAGGCAGTAGGACTTGATAAAGGCTATGTTTGTTGGGGGTGGGGGGCAGGAACTGCAGGATCAAGGGAGGCATCCCGGAGGAAGCAGCGTCTACACTGAGCCTGCGGGAGACACAGGAGTTCACCGGGCAAAGAGGGGAGGGAGGCCAGGCCAGGGAGCAGCATGGACCAGGCCTGCAAGCTGGAGAGGCCTGGAAGAGGCAGAGGGGGGTAACGAGGGCTGAGTGGGCAGGGGTGACAGGCTTAAGGGTCCTGTGGGCTGGGTGCAGGGGCTCGGACTTTGTCCAGGAGCTGTGGGGACACGTGGAGAGATTGAAGTTGGGGAGTGACCCGATCAGGTTTGTAGTTTTTGAAAATTCCTCCCGGCTGCTGTATGGAGAAGGGAGTGGAGAAAGGGAGGCCAGTGGAGTAGGCTGCTGCCTCAGCCAGAGCGCTGGCCTTGGACCAGGAGGTGCCCTGGGGATGGAAAAAAGAGGACCAGTCCCAAGGATCTTCAGGAAGTAACCCGGACAAGACTGGAGGACGGATTTTTCTCACCATCGGGGTGGACAAGCCTTCAGGAGTCTCTGCAATCTACTCATGGGCCTCAGAATTTGGGACTCCTATTTCCCTATCCTCTCCCCATCAGCACACCACTCCTCTCTAACGGGACTGAGGCTGGGGAGGCAAAGGAGGGGGCGGTGCCAATGTTCGCGCAGCCCCTGCGGGGGCTTTCCAGCAGCTGTAATTCTGGTCCTCACCAGTAGGTGGCAGCCCAAGATAGAAGGGAAAGGTAGCAAGGTTACCCCTGCCCACCCAGTTTGGGGAAGGGTGCTGCGCTTAATGGACAGGAGGCCTGGGACTTAGGAATGGGCGATGGATTTACTATCACATTAACAGCATCACAACATCAGCACCTGACTTCTAGGGGGAATTGTGGTTGTATGCTCTGTGCAGGGGTTTATATGAATTTCATCCTCATAGCCCCATGTAGTGGCCCATTGTTGTCTCCTTTTACACTGGAGGAGAATGAGGCTCAGAGAGGCCAAGAGACTTGTCCAAAGTCACACAGCTAAGAAGCCTCAGACTAAGGGTCGGAATCCCAGCCTGTCTACATCACTCCAGGAGACACCCTTCAGAAATACTTGCCCTGAAACCACTCCGGGGTGAACAATGTTTTCTCCCTCCCCCTCCCCTTCCTCTCCCACACCCACTCCTTCTCCTCTTCCTCCTCCTCCTCAATGCCTCTGGAGACATTTGAAAATTGCTCAGAGCCTCTGAGTCAACGTTCTCAAAACCTTCCCCCATTTTGTAAGCCTTGCTTCCCTCTACAAGATTGCAGGTCAAGAAGGAGCAGGTGTTTATGTCCATTTCACAGATGGAGAAAGGCTACAAGCTGTGCCCAGGCCGCACAGTGAGACAAGGCAAAGCTGGATCTTGACCCCACACAACCAACTGTCTTTTCATAAATCATCTGTGTCTGCATCCCAAGCCCCTCCTTGGTGCCAGGCCTGTGCTAGGCTCTGGAGCCACCACCCCCATTCCTGCCTATG